AGTTAGGGCCTCCAGCACCAGGAAGCTGTTCTACCTTTTCAAGTACAGAACAGCCACAAAGCAAGAGTTCAATTAATGCTCCACTTTGTGTGTGTGTGTGTGTGTGTGTGTGTGTGTGCGTGTATGTGTGTTTTCCTATTCCTCTCTCCCTTCCCCCCAATCTTTAAGTTTTCTCTGAGGAAGAGAGAAAACACATACACAACAACAAGCAAACCAGACTTTCTATTTTCTGCCTAACTGGATTGATGTTCCCTTTGAACTCTCTGAGGGCAGATTCAGCAGTTACAAATGAACATTTCTTCCTGTTAGAATGTGGAGGTCGCTTTCCCCTTCTCCTTGAGCTTTCCTTGTCCATGACAATAATTCAATGGCCAGCAAAGAGTTGTGCTAGAAACTTCCTCTTGCTCTAATGGAACAGGCCTAAAATACATCTCTGAGCAACTGGATTCTTGGTGAGCCACTAGCTACTGAATATTCTTTCCAACAGCCGGATTTGAGATGTGTCCTGGACGCCTATAGTCACCGTGGGGCATGTAAAGGAGCATAGCCACACAGGGGATCTGAAGTTACACTACCGGAGAGTCATTCTTGTGGCTAATGTACACCTGTGATGTCTCACGTGAAGCTGACATCACACATTCATTCACTCAACGATTTTCTCAGTAAGATACTGCTTGGGGCTGAGAACCCGAATGAGCGAAAGGAGGTTAAAGGGGAGAAAGAAGAAGAAGAAAAAGGATGTCTTTGGAAGAAGGATCCTGTAGGAAAGTCAAAGAGATTGACCTATGGGTGCTGAGTCACAAATAGAGAAAGTGCTGGAGTATCAGGGTTAAAAGAAACACAGCAAGCCCTAGCTGGTTTGGCTCAGTGGACAGAGCATTGGCCTGCAGATTGAAGGGTCCCGGGTTGCAGGCTCAATCCCCAGTGGGGGGCATGCAGAAGGCAGCCAATCAATGATTCTCTCTCATCATTGATTTTCTCTCTCTCCCTCTCCCCTCTTCTCTAAAATCAATAAAAATATATATTTAAAAATTTTTTAAAGAAAAGAAACACAGCCATTCCTTTTTAATAATTTACTTACCTTTTTCTTTTTCAAATGGATGGCAAAGGGGTTCTGAAAAAATGCTGAGCCCTTATAATTTCTATCTGTGGCAACATTTTATCTAACTTTAGTAAACTGCAGCAGTTAACAGAGTGTGAATGTCAGTGGCACTTCCTGATCTGCACAAACTTCATAAAAAGTTTGTTGTTCACAGGCAGCTTTTTACCGGTGGGGGGGGGGGGGGAGAAGGGGGGTTGGGGTAGACAGGAGGAGAGAGGGGCGCAGGAAGGAAAATGCCTCTTGAAATAAATTCAGACAATTAAATTTCCACCACATGGGCACCAACCTCAGGAAAGATTTCAATAGAATAAATAATCTTGAGCTCAGAAACCTTGACGCAGAGCCTGTGAAATCAAGGTCTGGAAAATTCAGACAGGAAAAGTTCTATACATGGCACCACTGCTTTTGGCAGGGAACTAGCAAATTAAAATCAAATGCTGCACGGACAGGCAACTTCTAAGCAATTTCAAATACAGTCATAATTCATCTCTAGTCAAGTTGTGAGATTTTCATAAAAGCAACAGGAAAAGTTCTTGAGGGAAAGAGCACTTCTAACTTCCATTGTTCTGCAGACACTCCCACTCAGGCAGCGATTTCCCCCCACAGTTCCTAAGTGGGAGTCTGTTTACGGAACTGGAGGAAAGGTAAGCCGTATTCTTTTATCCCTGTAAAGAAGAAGTGTGATTATTTAATTATTATGTAACTCTGGACAGCTGATATGAAAGTACACTTGTTTGTGTGATTTAGCAGAAGTTGTGCTTTCTTAGCTTCCCATCCAAATAACTGGGAAACAAATGCACATGGAGGTCCCGGCTCTCCTCTTGGCATTGAGATGGCTTGCAAGTTGAGGACACACTGTGCAAAGTATTCAATTTGTTTCTGTGTCTAAATAGGCATCTTCAAAATGAGGAGGGGGTTTTGAAACTATTTATACAAGCCTGGATGTTGCTATAAAGGTACATAAACTTCCCCCTAAACTGCTGTCATCCACAAACATTTTGGGACACACAATAATAGCAACCATTATTCCAGAGTATCGATCTAAAGTCAATGACTATGACCCCAACTTGATCAGACTAATTATTTAATGTTTACTAAGGCTACTCTCACTCCTATAAGTTCTAGAACTTCAGACTAGGGTCACAAACACCAATGTTTTAGGTAAACAGTAAAGCTTATAAAAAGTAGTACAACCGAAACAGATTTGGTTCAATGGATAGTGTGTAAGCCTGCGGACTGAAAGATCCCGGGTTCGATTCTAGTCAAGGGTATGTACCTTGGTTGCGGACACATCCCCAATAGGGGATGTGCAAAAGGCAGCTGATCGATGATTCTCTCTCATCGATGTTTCTAACTTTCTATTCCTCTCTCTTCCCTCTCTGTTAAAAAAACAACAACAAAAAAAAAACAATAAAATATATTTTTTTAGAAAGTAATTCTGAGCAGATTTTATGTGTGTGTGTGTGTGTGTTTTAATTTTGAGATAATTATGAACTCACCAGATTTACTAAATATAGTAGGAGAGGTCCCTTATAACCTGCACCCAACTCCCTGAAATGATAACATCTTATATAATATCAAAGCTAAAAAACTGGCATAGGCACAATCCCATTCACTAGATACTACTAACTAGATCAGACCTTACAGGGATTAGAACAGGTTTAAACCCATTTGAACACAGCTGGAGGGAACTTGAATCATTTGCATGAATTTATCCTTGAGGTAACGGTACAGAAAATTGATGTGATTGAATCAGACCTAGATATTTGGGCAAATTATTTTTTCACTAAGCCTTAGTTTGTTCATCTGTAGGATAGAAATAATAATACAACCCAAGTAAGTTGGGCACATTTTCAGTCCAGTGAGAGCAGCATATTTTATTAATAGGAACCCCAACTATAATAGTGTCCTTTGTTCCCTCATGAAATCTTATGCTTCTGTTCTCAAAATCAGCCTGGTTCTTCACACACACACACACACACACACACACACACACACGCCCCCAGGCCTCCTCAGGCTGCTCCTCTCTCTCTTTTTTTTTTATTCTAAATATATTTTATTGATTTTTCACAGAGAGGAAGAGAGAGGGATAGAGAGTTAGAAACATCAATGAGAGAGAGTCATCGATCAGCTGCCTCTTGTACACCCCCCACTGGGGATGTGCCCGCAACCAAGGTACATGCCCTTGACCGGAATCGAACCCGGGACCCTCCAGTCCCCAAGCCGACGCTCTATCCACTGAGCCAAACCGGTTTCGGATGCTCCTATCTCTTGATAAAAGTACATCCTTAAAATATTTGCAGCATGAAATTTCAACTCCCTTATGCATTTAATGCCTCCCCTAGGCCAAGAGAATGACTTGAAAACTTTGGGCCTGCTCTTCTCCATGAAGCCATCCTCCACCCAGCCATCTAGCTCGCCTGGACTCTTTATGCTCTTTATGCCACTGGCACCTGAGCTGCAACTGAGGGCTGAGCTGGACTATCATCCCATTCACTCCCCTCCCCTGGCTCTGACACTGGTAATCTGAAGGAGGAGGAACCAGGTAGTTCCTGATTGTGGGCTTTCTGTCCGCCCTCCTTGCTACTTGCTACCATGTGCAGGTGTCCAATATGCAGTGATTGTGGCTTTGGTTGTGTTGACAATAAAACCCACATGGTCTTCTCCACCTCCTGTTTTTTATTGCGTCTCACAAATTTGTCTATTATAAGCCAACTGAGCAAGTTCCACCCTTCATTGTCTTTTTGGTACAGTGCCTGCCATGTCTTGATGGCTGATTAATAAAATTACAGTACTAACCCTCCTCTGGCCGGCAGCACTGGGCAGAGGGGGGATCTGGTATGATTTCCTTAGGGCCTGGTCCCTTGCAGAGATCCTGGGGTCAATGCTGTGCTGGTTGGAGATGGGGTAGAGAGAGTCAAGGGCGTCATGAGGGCTGTGTGGAGAGAATAGGGAGTTGTGGGAGGGGGTGAGTATTCCCCTGCTGAAGAGAAGCCTGAGGTGTTCCTGAAGAGCTTTATCCTTGGGACCAGCCTGTTTTATTTGCACCTTAGCTCTGCCACTGACCAGCTGTGTGCTAATGACAAATTCCTTAACTCTCCTTAGACTCTGTTTTCTTATCTATACATGGGGATAACAATACCTACCTCTTAGATCATATTATTGTGAAGATAAAGTATCTTGGGCCTTAACCAAGGCAAATTTCCTGCCCACTCTAACCTTCCAGAAATAATATCTAAGCACAATTAGCCTAGAGATGTTCATCTGTCACCTCAGGCACTGAGGGCCTAAGGACAGTTTATAGGAGTTTAGGACTCCCTTCCCGTTGACCTTCAGGTTGGGTGTCAAACCTAGCCTAGGAGCATAGGCGGATTGGGACAAGAATGGCTGCAGGATGGCACTGCAGTGAGGAAACCAAGGCAGGGCACTCCCAGAGACCATCAGTGAACGGTGCGGAGGCTTCACACTTGAGATGCAAGAGTGTGTTTTTCCAAAGCAGCGGAGAATGGGAAGATGCGGCTGTAAGGGACCACGGGGGCACAGAGGTGCAAGGGGAGCTCGGCCCCGGGCGCACAGTCTCCCCGCGGCGCGCGGCCGCCAGGCGGCACCAGGGCCCCGGGAACCGGCCGCCGCCGCGGGCGGGGCGGGGCGGGCGCGGAGGATTCGCGGTGGGCGGGGCGCGGCGCCGGCGCTGCGGGGACCCCACGGGGCGCGCGGCGGAGGGAGCGGCGGGGCTGCGGGGCCGCGGGGCCGGGCGGGGGCGCGGCCAATTGCACGGAGGACCCGGCGCGCGCGGGCGGGGACATGGAGGCCGGCGCGGCCGCCCGCCGCCCCTGACGCGCCGCTCCGTCCCGGTGGTCGGTCGGCGAGGCCGGGCCGGCCGGGCCCCGGCGCGGAGATGGGCAGGCCGGCGGCGCTCCTGCTCTGCCTGCTGGGCTGCCACGTCTGGAAGGCGGTGACCAAGACGCTGCGGGACCCGGGCGCCGCAGCCCAAGGTGGGTGCGCGGCGCGGCGGCGGGCTTTGTGCGGCCCCGGCCTGCCGCAGCGCCCGCCGCATTGTCCCGGGAGCGGGAGCCGGGCCTGCGGCCCCGCGCTGCGCCCGGAGGGGGCGGCGCCGCCCGGGGACGCGCGGGGCCTGGGGCCAGTGCTCCGGGGGCCGGGGACAGGTGGGGGTGCGGGTGGCACCGGCTCGGCGGTTTCGGGGGCGCGCTCGGGTGCATCCGAATGTCCTTTTCTTTCCGCCTCGAAGCGGACACGCGGCTCCGTCGTCTCCTTCGCCCCGGCGACCCGAGCAGCCTCCTCCGGGCTCGGGTGCCAGCAACCCGGACGCGAGGGCAGCTGCGCTGGACCCTTTTGTTGCGGCGGCGGCGAGGGGGTGGCCGCGGCCCCGGGCGTGCCCCCTGCCATTTGGGGGACTCCAGGGTCCGAGGCTGCTGCCAGCCGCCGCCTGCCGTACGCAGTTCGGGAAAGTTTTGGGGGTCCCCTCCTCCTCCTCCTCCCCGTCCGACGTCTCCCGGGCCTTGAGGGACTTTCTCGTCGGCCCAGGAGCCGCTCCGGAAGGGGAGGAAGGATTGGAGCCGGGAGACCCCGAGCGCTCTGAAACAACAACAATCGTTTCCAGGGCTGCTTGTCGCCAGCTCCTGCCTTTTGTCTAATCTTTGGCCTCTGCAAATCTGCTCTCCAGCCCAGGTGGTGATGCGGTCGCCTCTGAGAAAGGCCACGAGCCTGTCTTTTGTCTTTAAAATACGACTTTTTTTTTTTTTGAGGGGTGGGGCGTGGTGGGAGCCCCGAAGCCTCCGTTGCCGGCCTTCTCCAAAGGGTGAGTGAGGCCGCAGCAGAGGAGCATCTGCAGGACGCCCTGCCGGCCTCCCCGGGCTTCTCAGGTCTCCCGCAAGGCCCCCTGCAGCCCGCCCACCCCCATCCTCCCCGCGCCCCAGCTCCTTGCCATGTCCTTTCCGTCTGAAAGGTGTGTGAACTGTGAAGTCAGTCCTGCCCACAGGACGAACCAAGATCGCTCCATCCAGTGTCCTCTTGCCCAGACCCTGCCTTACCCCCATCCTCACGCTCACTTTCTTCCCATATGACAAATGTCGGAGCAAAGAACCTGGATGGCCATTCACGCCTGTTGTGGCAGAAAGGAAGGTTCTACCCCAGGCTGTCGGGCTTAGTTTGTTACCTACAGGTTGCATGAAAGGTTTTCATGTCCATCCCTTGCTGTACCATTTGCCAGTATCTCTTTCATGCATTGCTTTTGCTGTAGATACGGTATAATATGACAATTATGAATTGTGTATAAAATTGTAATGTATATTATGGAAGGAGAGCATTGATGTAGTACAAAAAGATTCATGCCTCTTCATGTAGGAAGTGAATGTTTAGGACATTAGGTCGTTGGTGTAGTTATAGCCTCTTAATACATAGCTATCTCTCTTTGAATCAGCTATTTTAATGAATGATATTTGCATTTCAAGGAGGCCATTCATTCCAAAGAAGGCGTTGAATTTTTTGTTTTGCACTTGAAATGTAATATATGGAAACATTAAGTTGTAAAATAGGGGAAGGCTTGGTTGGCCTCAACTTGGGGAGAGGGGGAAAGAGTCATGATAAAACCTAGGTGTAGATTGGAGACCACATTTAACAGAGATCTTCTTGCTAAAAATCAGATCAGGTAACTTAACTCCCAGAAATGGAATGTTCTGTGAAGTGCAAGAGAAAATTATCAACCCGAGAGGATATTTATGCCGTGGCTAAGAGAATCTTAGTCTATGGGGTGGTTGAGTTGAACATTTTCCCACCTAGATTCCTTCCTTGATTGGCTAATGGTGGCTTTTTAAAGAGTTGAGCCCAGGAGCCGTAACCAAAGTTGGGTCTTCCTACCTGGCTTCTGGATTATGAGCTAGTATCATTTTTATGGGAATGGACAATATCTCCTTGGACATGATAAGGTCTCTTTCACCCCACTGAGTTCTTCAAGCCATCTTGACCCTTAACCTTTTAACATAGTTTTTAAACTCATGTTTTCTCAACTCTTCTGGATCACAGTGAAGACAATGACCGCATCTGATTTCACTTGGCATTTCCCACAACAGTTTGTAGATTGTTTTGCACATGGTCAGTGCTGCATTGATGAAGGTTTGAAGACAGCTTTTAACCAATACACCAATTTTCAACCTTTATCATCTCAAGGCACACATAAGCTAATTAACAAAATTCCGTGGCATAGAATCGCTATTGTGATGCAAATCACTGTTGTAGTGCAACATGCAGTCATCTTTGTTAACACGCATTTTTAGAAGAAAACTTCCATGTTTACCTTCTCTGAAATCTAACTTGTGGGAGTTTTACTTACTTTCATTGTTGAAACTTACTTGAATCATTGAAACATTAGTATGAGTTGTATACACACAGATACTGTATACCAATAGGACTTAGAAATTACTTGGGGAAAATCTAGAGACCTGGAACACACAGCTCATTATACTACAGTATTCTCATCAGATTTTTGGGGACCAAATGACACCTTTATTAAACGAATCTTTGCTATGTTATGAGGAAATGAACATCTTGCAAAACTTCTTGGCACAGTTTTGCTATTTATGTAGTCAAGATAAGATTTAAGGTTTGGCTTCAGATTCTCTCTTACTGTAGCTGCCTCCAATCAGCAAAGGGATTTCAAAAGCAACAGTTAGTTGTCACAGTGGGGCTTTTCTAATCACAAACTTGAACTAGTGCTAGAATATGATTGCATATTTTTATTGTTTCATCTCATTTGCTCTAACGTGTTTACAGTATCTTTTTCTTTTTTTTAATGTTACAGAAGCTGTTATTCTGAAGTATTGGCTAATTTTGCATTTCTCCACCTCTTAGAAACTGCAGCTGGCTTGATAGAGGGGGCTGTCCTTGAAGAGCAGTGAACTGTGCAGATGAGCTCTTTGGGGATGTATGTTGAAGGCCAGCGCTTTTATGCATAAGAGAGGTCAGAGCTAGGTTCAGGAATTCAGGCTCAGCCTTCTACTGTAGGATCTTGACGTTACTGCTCATTATCTAATTTTGCAATGATATGCTAACTTTTTGTGCATCTCAGAGAAGCTAGTATCTGTCATCAGATTGAAGTGAATGGTTGGCTGTCTCTCTTCTCTCTGAGAGGTCTGTTCTTTGCTAAACTCAAATTTGAGTTATTGGAGCACGTGATCAGTGGAAAGACCATGAAGTAACATCAGATATGAGGAGGAACCTATAAATATATTACTTGACATGGCATAGGATCTTCACCGAATTGATTCACTTAAGAGTCTTGGATAGTTTGGGTTATCGATTGGACCCAATATAATCACAAGGATCCTCCCAAGAGAGAGGCGGAGTCTGAGAGACTGAGGGTCCTGCATTGATGGCTGTGAAGGTGGAGGAGGGGCCGGGAGCCAAGGAACGCAGGCGGCCTCTGAAAGCCAAAAAGGCAAGGAAACGGATTCTCCTCTGGAGCCTCCAGAGGGGATGCTGCCTTGCTGACATCTTCCCTTTAGCCCAATTTATACTGATTTTGGGTTTCTGACCTCTAGAACTGAAAAATAGTAAATCCATGTAGATTTAAGACACTGACTTGTGGTAATTTGTTATAGGAAACTAATACAAACCCTAATCCTCAAGAATTATGAAAGAGCTGCACCTGTACAGTCAGGGTAATGGTGGAGCGTAGACTTACTTCTTGGGTCCAAGCCAATAAATATAATGGAGAAATGCATGAAGTTTTTGCATCTGTTTAACAAAATTCTGCCAAATTGGAGCCATGTTGGGGATCCTTGAGGATTGCCTTCAGGACCCTTACTGCAGCCACTAAAATAACTAATTTTCCCCCGATGAGATCAGTGAGATGCGACTTCTGTCTGTAAGCAAGGTGCATGAGTGCTCTCTGTTCCTCCTGGAGTCGGGATTGTCCGCAGCTGAAGAAAGGACCTGTAGCCACAAGCCACTCTAGTAGGAATCTTGCTTGCTTTCAAGTTTGGCTCTAATTATTATGGAAAGCCACCTATTGGTAATAAGTGAGGTAAAAGAAAGTTGCGATTTAATGTCACCATAGGCCCCCAAGGCCTTCATACAGTGAAACAGTAGGGTCCCCCCTCCAACTTGGAATGGCCTCCCATGTTGTCCCAGTCTCAGCACAGCCCTTCCGATACTTCTCTGCCTCTCTTAGGCAAGTGAGTCCTGCCAACTCTGGGCCTGGACCACATGAACAATTGAGGACACCCTGGGGCAGGCAGAGGGCAGAGGCAGCGTAAACACTGGGATTATCCTTGACACTACACCTGAGAGGGAATACAGGAAGTGTGAATTTTCCTCTCATGTGAATTTTCCATCTCAACTGGGAGCAAAGGGATTAAGTTCAGTGTAGTCCTGAGAAGGAAGACCTATGACATTTGGGCAGGTCCCATAGCAGCTGAAGGGGTCACTGGCAACTGAGTGTGGGATTCAAACCTTATGGGCTCGGAAAAGGATAAGGTTAATGAAGTGTCCTGGCTGGAGTCTCTTCCTAAGGAAATGAACTCAAGAATGTAGAGAAGTTTGAATCTTCTTGATTTTAGGGCTTTGTCCAAGAGGTAAGAAAACGGAGAAAGGGAAGGAACCACTCAGTTATTTTAAGGCTGAAGACCTTACTACTTGTTAATGTATCATACTTATCTTCCCAACATAGCTCATAAACATTCACTCATTCATTTCTCTTCTTTTTCACTACTTTGCCTACCTTCATCCTAGAGGGTCCCTGTTTTAGTCTCACCTTTCAGTCCAACATCTCTTCAAACACTGTTTTAGTCATGTTTCTTGGATAGTCTGGGTATCAGTTGGACCCAATATAATCACAAGGATCCTCATGAGAGAGGTGGAGTCTGAGAGACTGAGAGTACTACACTGATGGCTGTGAAGGTGGAGGAGGGGCCGGGAGCCAAGGAACGCAGGCAGCCTCTGAAAGCCAAAAAGGCAAGGAAACGGATTCTCCCCTGGA